AATTGTGCATTTTAATATTTTAGGATTATGTTCCTTGTTGTCCAGTTCAAATTTAATTCCTTATTGTTCAGTTTGAATCAAGTCCCCCATTATGTGTTATTCTCTCTGAATTTTAGCAGCATCCAGACATATCTCCCGTTTGAGGAAAATTTGGGTGATTGGGCTTTCCCACCACACTAAGAAAAACGTATATGAGTTTTCAGAGGTACTTGCTTGTTCAATTCAAGTTTGGTTTCTTGTTGTTCAATTTCTATGCATTTTGCTCTGAATTTCGATAGCATCCCGACATATCCCTCATTTGGTGGAAATATGGGGGACTGGGCCTTCCCACCACGCTAAGAAAAGCCTGTATGGTAGGTGTCCGTAGACATCGTGTCCATGATATTCAATCCCACCACGTTAAGAAAAGCATGTATGAGCCTTCAGTACATTTTAATTTATAATTAATTATGATTAATTAATTTTTCTTATAATTAATTATAAGTCAGTTATAATCAATCACTTTTAATTTATAATTATTTGCACTTAACTTGTAATTAATTATAAATTAATTGCATTTAATTGATAATTAACTATAAGTCAATTATAATTAATTACATTTAATTTTTAATTAATTATTAATTAAATGTAATATATAAAATAATGTAATTAATTATATTCTTACAAACGATGATAACCTGAAGAGTTCGGTCCCTACACCTATGCCCTGGAGTAAATTTTTCATCACACCTAAAGCATAATCCCTTCTCCCTCTTCTCTTGCATCTCCCTCTCCTTCAGTCTTTTGAAATTTTCTTCACTTCCTCCTACTGGCTTCTCCCTGGTGGTATCACGAAGACCGCCTGCTGCAGGACCCTTGGGTGCTAGAAGAGTGGTAGTTATCCTGTAAGAGCCTCCTGAACTGTTGCTCCTGGCTCTTTTCTTTAAATACTTCTGATCTTCCACCAACTGCGCCAACTCCATTGGCTCTCCCAATTCACGAGGCCTCTTGACCCTCACCGCAGCTCTGATCTCATATTTGAGTCCTTTCATGAAGTAAACCTCCAACGTTGTGTTTGATAGTCGCTCCACCCGAGTGTTCAAGTGCTCAAATCTCTCACGGTAGTCGGCCACTAATCTATCCTGTACTTAGTGCAAAGAACTGCTCATAGAAGTCTCCTCCTTTGCCAGTTCATAAACGTTCCAATAAGCATTCCTTGAATTCCCTCCAACTCCGTATGGGTCTCCTTTGATCCCTCCACTGATACCAGGAAAATGTCTTCCCCTCCAAACATAAACCTACTACTGTCAACTTTTCCTCCGTCAGCCATTGGTGGTGAAATACTTTCCATTTTGTAGATCCACCCGTGTGCATCCTCCTCTTCAAAAATGGGCATCTTCAGCTCTCACCTTTGGATCTCCCCTGTTTCCCTGTATTCCTCCATAATTTTCCCTTTCCCAAGTGCTTGGTTCTCCCCAAGTCTCCTGATCTTCCCTTACACGCTCATCTTCAAACCCTTCTTCACTTTCCCTCCTCTTTTCTCCAAAATCAGCACCCCTCCTACCATAAGTTCCCTCTTTTCTCTCCCAACCAGCACCCCTTGCTTCATGGCCCCCATAACCACGCCTCTCTCCATACCTTCCCCCTTTCTCCTCCATGATCTCCACATCATTTTACCTCCTACGAAATTTAGAATTCATAGTTCTTCCCACTGTTCTCTTTGTCTCCGATGTCGCGTTTGAATTTAATTTTTCAGTAGCTTCTTCTCCATCATATGAAGATCGGAACTTTGTCTTCCACGGATGAAATCTTGTCTTCTATGGATGAAATTTGATCTTTCACCATTGCTGTCATTTGGCTCATCACCCCTTCAAGACATTCCTCCAATGCATCTACCTTCTTGGCCACCATCAGGCCACCATCAATACCCGAAATTTTTGTAGGTTAAAAAATCTGGATATTGATAAAAAAACCAGCAAGAAACCCTTCCTCCGGAAAAAGAACAACTGCAGAAATTTCAGAAAAAACAGTCCACAGCAGTCCCAAAATCTGCTATGATACCCATTTGATAGTAAATACTTGAATATTTAAAGTAAACCCTAACAATATTGACGAAAACAGTGGAAAAAGTCCACAAATCTAATGGAAAAACAAGCAAAAACAGTAGTTTTTATTATAGAAAGCAAATCAATGGAAGAAATCAAGCAAGATACAATTGATCCTCAATTCGAGAGGAGGATTGTTCTCTTCCAATCCCTAGACGAATCTAGGGCCCAAGACACCAAAAAAAAACTCCAAAATTAACCACAAAACAAAGAATAACCCTAACCCCTCTTTCCTACTTATAGCAAACAATTAAACAATTAAACCAAATTACATATTAGCCCTTGCCCGCCCCCTACTTTGGCTCCAACTTGTTTGAATTTGAATCCTTAGTAGACCCCATCCCCCTCTCCCTCTATCTTGCCGCCCACCTTTTGTAGACATGAGCAAGGGCCGGCCGGAAAAGATGAAATGTGTTATCAAAACTAATTTGAAAGAACTCATCAATAACTCGTAGCTAGCCTAGTTGACACTTGGACTAACTACAAGATGATTGCAATAAAGAAAGCTTTATTCCAATACTCTCCAGTATTATCCTAATGGGATTTTTTCTTAAATTATTGATTGTCTCCTCCATCACCTCTCCTCTATCGCTCATAACTTTCCTCAGCAAGCTGTCTTTTACTCCCCTGATCATTGACTACTTTACTTCTTGCTTGTTTACTTGCCTTCAGCTGCTTATTCAATATCTGTCTCTACAAACTGTTATTTATCACATATTCATCTGTCATATCAGCTAGCATTGACTCACTTTTATTGTCTATTGTCTGTTGAAGTTTATTGTGAAATATCCTATTTGAGTCTACTGAGATGGCTATGGTAAGTTTGGTTGAGAAATGAGATGGTTAGCCTACAACCTAAGGTCTCAACTCAAGTCATGAGATCTATTTCTTGTTTGCGTGCTTTTCGAAACTTGTAAAAATGCATCATTACTTTCATTCAATTTATTTTACTGTATGCAGATCTTTTTTCTTGTTCCCTCGTTCTTTGATTATGTTATCTTATGTATGTTTTTTTAGAAATTGTCTATCAGGGATCGAAATATTTTTTTAGGTGTTTATAGGCTTATAGCTTTATTCATTTGTGGCATAGATGATAGATAGCCTTGCTTCAGGTGCGTGAAGATTTTAGCCTCATGTATTCTCATTTATAACAAGCAGGAGTCTATGATTTCCGGAATTATTCTGGCAGTGACAGTCTGAATTATGTAGAGAAACAAGCCAGTTGGATGGCTGTACATGAAATACCATGCTATTGACCTGACATAATATATGTTCCTGAGACTTAAAACACGCGAACTCTAAATTGCTTGAATGTGCGATGAATATGAAGGACCTCCTTGAATTTGCTGTGCTTGATTTTTTTTTCTTGTTACAACACTTATACCGGTATCATTCATTTTGTCAACAACAACAACAACATCAAGCCTTTGTCCCACTACGTGGGGTCGGCGCTATTGTGTCCGGTTAAAAGTCAAATTCTCATTTAAATCTAATAAAGAAAGATCATTTCTAATATTTTCTAACCAAGTATTTTTAGGTCTACCTCTACCTTTCTTAACATAAGTCAAATCTAATACCTCAACTTTCCTAACTGGGTTATTGGAAGGCCTCCGTTAATGTGACCAAACCATCTTAGGCGACTCTCTCTAATCTTATTTTCCACTGGAGCTTAATTATGGTTATCTTTAATTAATAATAGTTAATTATAAATAATAATAAATTATTATTAATTAAGATATAAAATAATAATTAATTATAATTAATTTAAATTAATCATAATTGATAATTAATTATAATAATTATTTATAATTAATAATCATTAATTATAAATAATTATAAATAATTTTCTTTTCAATTAAGATTAAAGGATAATTAAATATAATTAATTGAAATTAATCTCAATTAATAATCAATTTTAATTATTTATAATTAATAATAATTAATTATAAATACTCATAATTAATTAGATAAGAATCATTTATGATTTGAGTAGGATTAACAGAGAGCTCTGTTTTAGGGATTTGGCAGAAGAAGCATGCATAAGGGAGAAAGTTAACCTTCACAGCCAGCCGCTCCTGTTGTTGCTTCCGATTCAAAATGTCGTAACTTCCAGTCCGAACAAAAGGGAAAGTCGTCGAAGGAGGAGTCGGCGGGAGATTGACAAGAGAGGAAGAGGGATTTCGGTTGGAGAGGAGGAGGTCGTCGGCTACAGAGAGGATAGGGAGAGAGCAGTGAGAGCTCGGGCAGTGGAACGAGCAGCTTGGAGTCGGGAGGAGATCGATCGGGAGGAAGGGTCGTATGGGAGGAGAAGTCGAGCGGAAGAGCAGCGGAGCTGGAAGCCGAGAGCAGCGAGGGGTTCGGGATCCAGGCGAGAGGGATTTGCGTGTGGAGTTGTCGAGAATCGAAGAGCAACCGAAAGCTTCGCTCGGTTGGGTATTTAACGACGCGAATGGGAGTGGGATCGAGGACTCGTCGCGCGATTTTTTGCAGAAATCTCGGAACGGCGCCGGATGTACAGTAAATCAACGGGATTCTGGCAAGATTTCGGCAGAAATCAAGGATCCAATGGTTACGAGGTATGCACGTTGAATTTTGGCTTCCTCTTTCTTTTGTTCTTTTGGATATACGATGCAGGTCAACAGATTTGTCATGTATGATTCTTGGACTAATCCTTAGTTTTCATACGTAAGATAATAAATGCAGATTTAAGCTGGAATTTGTTTCTTACTTTATGTTGTTCTTGTTTGCTATTCCTTGAAGGTGGAAGGCTCTGACTTAAATCACCATTGTTCATCTTCCTGTGTTGCGTCCTTGCATTATAGCATATGTAGTTATTTCCTTGGGGCTGATATATGTAGAGAACCTTGCTTTGTGGTTTAGTTTATTTACTGGTATGTTTTGACTGTCATTCTCCAGGAAGAAGAAGAGACAGCCTTAAAAGAACTGAGGAAGAGCTTGAATTTCAAAGCTACTCCTATGCCTAGCTTCTACCATGAGGGACCTCCTCCTAAGACTCAACTCAAAAAGGTAGTTGTTTTTTCTACAATGATGTGAGGGGACAACACTCACACACACACACACACTGCATTGTTAAGTCTGTTCTGTTTCCATGCATGTCCGAAGACCCATATTTTCCTAGAGATTGTGCCCGACAAAACAAAAAAGTAAAATTTTCTAAGGTAGGATCCAGCTGCTTTTTGAATCAGTCATCATTGTTAGTATTCCTTTTTGTTTCTGAGCTTTTGCCTTCTGTTTTACAGTGCTTTTGTGATTGTTTGTCAGTCTTGCAAAATAATAAGGGTGAGTAGAGTCTGTACAACACTCCTTATTTGGCTTTAAGAAAATAATAATGAACATGCTTAGAAGAGGAAAACCAAACAATTAAAGTTTAGCTTGTGTTTTGCAACTTTGATTGAATCTTGCTACCAAAATCTAACTAAACAAGCACACTATCAATATTTCATAAATATTAAATGATTTTGGATTAAAAAAACCATGGATAAGTACAAATTATCTCTCCTTTGAACACTAAGGTAAGGACAAGCTTATAAATATGCTTGTTATAATCTATTTCCATCACTAATTAATATGTATTCAAGATATAAGATATGTCCATGAAGTGACTAACCATAATAATATGCTCAGCAAGTTTGTCAAACACATTGCATGCATTTACTAATAAATGATTTAATAATTAAGATTAAAGGTGTATGCTTACAAAGCCACATAAATTGGTGTCATAATACTATGATTCTTTACAACAACACATTTAGTTACCAAGTAATGGGATTAATCATTGGAATTCTTGCTCTCTTTTATTTCGGCCTTCCCATGCCCTTTCTTGATTTTCAATTTTCTCTCTAACACTCTTTTTTTAATCTCATTGTACATTTGTGTGCTTATAGTTTCTACTTTCTAAAACTAAGCTATTTAAAAATAAAAAACTTAGACAATTTACTTAGAATGATTATCTCAAGAAGAATGTTAGAATTGTCAAAGTCCTTTTAATAAATAGGCTTTTATTGGAACATGCTATACAAAATAAAATCAAAACTATAATTAAAACTCATTGTCATATCATTTCATGTGGATATATGGCAAAACTTTGGCCCAAATATGATTTAATTTATATCAAAATTAAATATTTAAATTATATTTTAGTTTATTAATTTGAAAATTTAGAATTTATCAAGCTAGCTTAGCTTATTAAGTTTTGCTCTTTCGATTGCAAAGATATTGTCCTGATTTTAAATGCGACTATAAAGGGTGCTATTGCATTGGTTTGGCTGTGGTGGACCAACCTTCTATTCATATAAATTTTATTTGGAAGGATAATGTGGTATTGCCAATATTTTAAATTATGAATGATATTTTGCATAATGTTTTTTTTTAATGCTATAGGCTCTTTTTTGAAATTGAATAGATTACCCCTTACTTTGTGATTAATGCTATGATGCACCGACACTTCTCCTCAAAGAGGCGTGCAGTGTCCGACACCGTGTCCGACACGACACTCATCCGACACGTGTCGGACACGTCGAAAACGTGTTCGATTAAAAAATATTAAATACAAATTGGACACGCGTGTCCAACACGCGTATCTTAAATATTTTATGAATTTTTTTAAATATAATTTCTTGTATTTTGCAGGATTTAAACTAAATTTCTTATTTCCTATACACAACACCAAATCAATGTCCGCACTTAATTCCCAATCATCAAATTTTCTCATTTTCATTTTTTTTTGGCAGTGTCCGCCTGAAATATTAATTGTTGTTTTTTTGAAACTTACCAAAAAAAAGCTAATGTACATGCTCAGTACCGCTAGGTATCGCTAGGTATCGCTCAGTACATGCTCGGTACCGCTCAGTACATGCTCATTATCGCTCAATATATGCTCGGTACCGCTCGGTATCTTTCCATACAAATCTTACGAACTTTAAAAACAAGCAGAACTTCAAGTATCATCCTCTTCCTGTTGTGAGAGAAATTGGAGCACATACTCATTTATTCAATTAATGAGAGGAATAAAATAACTCCACAACGAGCTGAAGATTAAGTTTATATGCATACAAATATTCATCTTCTATCAAGGAAAACCCCACTTTATATGACATGTGATAACAAGATGTGGGATGTTGCTGGAGATGGGTTCAAGTGCCTTGATGATATGGGATTATTGGAGGTTGCAAATCTTTCTCTAGATGAACCAGTGTTGGAAGCAATGATATTCAATGATGATGATATTAAAGGCTAAAGATCAACCTCTGAATCTAATTCTATCATTCCCTCTATTGAGTAGTTGGACCTTCATGTTGTACTAAATGATTTTTTGCTTATATTTTTATGGTTGTACTAAACATTTTGTACTAAACATCTTTGTGTTATAAGCTAAACAAGTTATCATGAAATTTATTTATTATTGCTTGTCATTTTTAATATAATGTCACCTTAATTTCTATATATTATATTAAAAAATTATTATGCCATGTCCACGCCGCACCCGTGTCCTATATTTTTAAAAAATATCGTATCCCGTGTCCGTGTCGGTGCATCATAGCATTAATGATTTTATAGGACCTTTTAATGATTTTTGTCGTACTTTTCTATGCCTTACTTGACCTACCATGTGTTGAACCGTAAGCTAAGATGGACATATGTGGAAAAATACATTAGGTGTCATGACCCGGCCCGGATGCTCGAATTAACGAAGCGGAAACAGAAATCAAACAGTAGTAACTTTTCATTCCCTTTATAAGTAAAATAATATAAAGACTTCTCTATCCAACTGAAGAGACAGTAATACAAGAAATATTCCATTAAATCATTTTTTCCCTGATCAAATCTAATAATTTCATCAATCATAATTTACATGTTTTCATTGATGCGTCATCTTTTATAAACATACTCTTCTCTTTCTGTCATTTCTATTTCTTTGGAGATCTACCTGAAACATTCATTTAGTGGGTTGAGTTTACCATGTAAATTAGTGGGTAATCATTATTAATTATAAAACAATAACATAAGTATATCAAAAATATAATTATAGATCTTCATATACTTCTTTCTTTCTTAATACAAAATACATATGCATACACCTTTCATTTATAAGCCTTATAATTTATATAAGTCCTTTTGTATTCAATCATAATTATCAATTTTCATGTAACATTTCTTTTAACAGATTTATCATTTAATTCATTTTCATAATCATTTTCATTTGTACAGGAGCATCATCTAAATGTACCAATTAAGGTACAATCATTTTGATTTTGATTTTCATTTTATTTTCCTTTTTAATGTGTATTGGTACGTTGCTTCCCAGCCAGTACCATATGGGGGTGAACTCCTGTAAATTTGCATGCATATCCTTTTCCTTTTCATTTATTTTTCATTCATTTATATATACTTTTGATATATATATAAGTATCATATATATGTATAAATGCGTTCTAATTTCACTTTATTTTTCTCTTATATGTATTCTCTTTACATATTATTTATTTCACATATTCGTATTTGTATATATATTTGCTTATTTCATATGTAATAGTTTCCAAAAATAAATCATAAGTCTTAAAATACTATATAACATACTTCTTTCAAAATGAAATAAAAAAATACAATAAAGAGAAATTCTATAACTACCTACTTTGATTCTTTCAAATCTTCGATGCTTAGTACAACCTAAAGAAATTCATAACCATGAAAATTTATCATTTAACTTCCATTAATTTTTTATAAATATTAATTTAATTAATAATTACCTCAAATCTCAATTTTCCTTTTCCTTATTGAATTCTTGCCTTGTTGAATTCTTGAAGAATCGAACTCCTACAACTTGATCTCTCCCTTTCTAAAATCCCTAAATTCATATCATATAAACTTTCATGAAAAAGTGAATAACAAAATTTAATAAAAGTTACATGATAGGAATTCACTTACAAATGGAGATTTTCTCAAAATCTTAAAATCCTTCTTTCTCTCTCAAAATCTCCTTCTTTCTACTTTCATTCTCTTCTTTTGCCCTAAATGAAAAATCCCTCATTGTTTAAAAGAGATAATATAAAAGGATTTACATAGAATGAGAAAAATCAATATACTTTAGTTCATTTTCCTCTTCTCAGTCGCCTCTCTCAAATGAAACTTCTCTTTTGCGTTTACTTTTATAGGAATGGATGAAACTAAAGTTTTCTGCATAAGTTGTTCTTCCTTCATGAATGTATTCCTTTGCTTATAAACGAAAAACGCATCTGTTTGGAGGTTATACGCACACAAGCGGTTACGCTCAGTGCGCCCCCTCTTTCGTGACCCCCTTCTGTTCGCGCGGCCTGATATTAAAAGTTGGCTGGTTCGATTAAACTGACCCAACTAAACCGGTTATTATAATATTCCTTATAAAAATTTCATCCTCGAAATTAAATCAAGTATAAATATCTTAATTAAATAGATGAGGATATTGACTTTTCATTTCTTCTTATTTCTCCCAAGTGATATCTTTATCTGTTCCATGTTTCCATAAAATTTTCACAAAAGGTATTGACGTATTTTGCTCAATTGTTTCATATTATATTTTAGGATTCTTTCAGGTTCTTCAACATATTTCAAATTAGGCTGCAAGTTAATTGATTTGAACTGGGTTCTCTTTGACTCATCTGACACATACTTTCAAAGCGCTGATATATGAAACACATTATGAATCCCTTGTATATGCACTGGTAGATCCAATCTATATGTCATATTTCCAATCCTTTCAATGATTTCAAACGGGCCTATGAATTGTGAGCTCAATTTTCCCATCTTTCCAAATCATTGCACACCTTTCATTGGACTAACTTTTAAGAAAATAAATTCTCCTACTTCAAACTCAAATGACATGTGTTTCACGTCATAATATTTTTATTGCCTGTCTTGTATTGCTTTTACTATATCTCTGATCAATCTGATTTTACTAGTAGCATTATCCACCAATTTAGTACCAACTCTTTTTCTTTCACCTGTTTCCATCCAACACAATGGTGCTCTGCACTTTTGTCCATAAAGAGCTTCATATGATGTCATTCTAATACTAAACTGAAAACTGTTATTGTATACAAATTCAATCAACGGTATGTTATTTCTCCCAATTTCCTCCAGAATCTAAAATACACAATCGTAGTAAATCTTCCAAAGTCTGAATTGTCCTTTCTGATTGTCTATCTGTCTGATTATCAAATGTTATACTGAAAGTCAATCTGGTACATATAACTTCTTGAATTTTCTTCCATAATCTAGAAGTGAATTGAGCATCTTTATCAGAGACTATAGATTTTAGAATTCCATCTAACCTCACAATTTCATCAACATATATCTTTGTCAACTTTTCTTCTGAATCTATCTGCTTGATTTGTAAGAAAAGAACTAACTTGATTAATATATCTATAACCACTCATATTGCATCTCGACTCTGCCTCAGATGGGATGAGATATTATAATATATTCCTTTGATTGAAGTGTCTTTCTTTTTGGGGTTCTTAGGGATAATATCTTCGTTGACATCTATCTCATTTCCCTTGTCTTTATTGGAGACTCCTTTCTTTGGCTGAGGCGGTAGTATTTTGCCACTTCTTAATTGCACTTGAGCGATATTCTACGGCTCAGACTCGTTTGATGGTGCATTTTCTTCAAAGTCGGCCATTGTCACATTTGGAGATTCATCTGTTGATTCAGAATCACCACCTAGATTTACAGGTCCCATCAGCGACGCTATGTCGGGAGTTGCCTCCTTAGTGCATTCTTCTTTTATCAGCATATTTGGCGTGACCGAGATACCTGAGATATTTCTACCGGAAGAGAGTTTTCATCATCTTTTTCGGCTTCATCTATTTTAAGCTCTGACATGAAGTCAGCGAGCTTAATAAGTCGTTTTGCAGTCTGGTAGTATTCATCCAAATTGTCAATGGCTCTTTGAATTGCTGTCTTTTTCTTCTTGGGATTCTTCAGTTTGGTCTTTTTGTTGGAAGATTTTGCCTTTCCAGACTTTGAAGAGCCAGCTTGGCTGAGGCTCTGCTTGAAAGTGGATACTGGATACTAGTGCCATAGACAATGCTTTATGATATAACATCAGCTCCGTAGGAGATTTTCAAGTCAGTCCTGGATCTCCTTCCAATTGTTTCAACATTTTCACAGTTTTTTTGGAGATCGCAGTCTCTCACTGCTCTTCTTAAGCTGGTTTTTTTTTCATTTCTTCTTTCTTCACTTGGGGGTATGGAAGAGGATGTGACCATCCGAGTTGATTCTTTCCTGCGGTGGGACAACACATTTTCTGATAATATGAGCTTTCCCTTCCGGTATTTTCGTTCCAATCAATCCTTGAAGATGTAGCAATCTTCAATAGGATGGCCAATCACTCCATGACATGGGCAATAATTCGGGTCGCTTGCTTGTTTTGATTCCTCACCAGTTGTCGAAACTTCTTTTAGTGCTTGTCGAAATAACTTGTCAATACTCTCCCTCTTGAATGAGTATTCTTTATTCATCTTGTCCTTAAGGGATGAGAATGTTCTATCATAAGTTGTCGGCCTTGGACGTTCCCCTCTACCCTGAAAAGCTTGTGGCTTATCACTATCACTGAGAATCAGCTTCGGTTGGGGTTAGGGTTAGGTTTGCTTTGGCTTTTTGTCGTATTGCATTGGTTGTTTTCCCTTTGTCTACATTGTAAACCACATATTTTTCTTTGTCAGCCTAGAGAAAAAACGTAGAGTCGGTCTCACCTCTTCTAGCACCCGGGGCCTTAGCCTTCTTTGTTTTATCAGAGTGGCTCTCTGATCTTGACAATTTCAATTTTTCAAACTTCGCCACTCTATCTAGTAGGTGCTGAAATGTGCAGCGATGCATAAGAATGGTTGCATCTTATCATCGATGTTTTCCATTAATAATTGCACAACATGTTCTTCTTCAAGCTACTGCTTGTATTTCATACTTAAATTGCTCTAGCGAATGATGTATTTGGTTACTGATTTTTTCCTTTTTGGCTTATCTAGGGTTTGATCATCAATTATTATCTTTTCTATTGCAGTGGAGAATCTCTTCACTAATATAGCTTCCAACTCTGTGAATGTCTTCGCAAAGTCGTTCGACAATTCAACATACCATTCGAAAGCAGCTACTGTCAAACTGCTAACAAACTGTCGTAAGAGCAAGGCGTCATTTCCCCCTGTGTTCCCGCAGGTGGCCTTAAATTATGCCAAATTATGCTTGGGGGTGTTATTACCATTGAAGGTATTGAACTTTGGCACATAGGATATATGACCGACAATTGCATACTAATTTCTCTGCTTTATCAACGGTTATGACGACCTTAATCTTCTTGGTGATAATTTTCTCCAATTGTGCAACAGTCATAGGTTCTGAGATACTTGCAACATTCTGTGGAGTGGGTTGACGGGTAATGTTATTGACTTCATTATCGCCTTCAGAAGCGCCCCGTACTCCTGAGATTTGAGGCATTTGAAAGTTTGGAGGATCAACAAGAGAATTAGGTGCAGGACCTACGATAGCAGTTCTCTGCATCATTTGCATAATTGCCTCCATTTGAGCCATCATCTCAATCATCTTCTCATTCAATTGAGAGATTTCTTTATATTTAGCTCTCATCTGCCATCTCATTTGCCATCGCATATCGACAAGCGTGATGTCTTCAACATCTAGGGGATTCTCTTCGGCTTCTTCTTCTTCTTCTCTCTCTCTCTCTCTCTCTCTCTCTCTCTCTCTCTCTCTCTCCTTTCGAAGAGCGGCCTCCTCTACTGGCGGTGGACACAACTTCACGGTGGCACCGGTATATTTTCCTAAGAGGCGGTGGTTGCCAATTATCGCCATCTTCACTGTTATCGTGGTAGGCCTCCTCATTGACATTGGTGTGCCTCATCATGTAAAAGACTTCCATGTTCATGGTGCCTTCTTCTATTTCTTCCTCTTCTTCCTCCTGTGCTCGGATATTCGAGTGGCGACGTCACTGGACTTTTGGTTCTTGATGCGGTAGGAAAATTTCTTTGACCCGTGGACTGCGATCGAAGTTAGTCACTTCCTTGGCCGGGGTAGGCGAACGATAGGATCCCTTAGAGGATTCTCCGAGGTGTCAACCGTCGTGGTGATCGTCATTATGGGCCTTCTTTTTGACCAATTTCTGATGTTACCTGTTGGCTGTGATGGATCTCCGGGAAGCTGCACTGGATGTCACACCTAAGTTTATCTCTCTTTCTCTTCTTCCTTCTTTACGAGGCTTTGACCTCCAGATTTGCTTTCCATTCCACCGGGATTTTTTGGCAATGGATCCCCGAACACACGGTTCCGGTGTCACACCCCGTTGCTCACTGTATATAGTCAGTATTATCATTATTATTTTTTGCTGCTGCTATAATATTTAGATGACTAGTCAAAGATGGAAAGAAAAACTAACCCCAGTGGAGTTATCAGAAATTTGTGGGCTCCAAAAATTCGGCCCCGACCTCCCCTCAGCTTTTCGGGGGAGTTTTAATGGATTTAAGTTCCGGGGTAAATTTTGGGAAGGCAGATTGAGATTGTAGATAGGACACTACCCAAAGATTTCGCCCTCATTTTGCGAGGACTTTATGATCTAACTTCTGGTTTCCTATAGGCGCAAGCCCCTCCGATCACAAGAGAGAACTTTCGATTAAGGCTAGTTGTCAATCAGCTACGTAGAAATACGTGGTATCTGACATATAGTAGCAGCATGGGTTTGGGGGTTGGAAAATTGAAGATTTGATATTTAAAATAAAAAAAAAATCATAATCTTGCACTTAAAACGGATGGTGGGGGAATGGATGATTGACCCAATCAAGATCCCGGCTACTTGGAGAGGGAGATGGACGACCAGGCTTGTCGTAGGTCTTATGTGATGTTCAGCTACTTGGAGATGGAAGCTGGGTGTGGTTCGACGGGAGGAAAAGGCGTTGGCTTGGGGTATTTTGGCTACACCAAGAGGTCGGGTCGTGGGATGTTGGGGTCGGAGCGGGAGGCTCGTGGACGTCGGATGGAAGAGAGGAGTTGGGATTTTTGGTTGGGGAGTTCGGCTTTCTGAGGAAGAAGCGAACAAAGAAGTGAAAAACCAAAGGCTCTGTTTCGTTCGCATTTTAAGACGAAGGCAGAGGCGGCATTGGGGCAAGCTACGCACGCGAGGAATGGACGTTTTCGGGGCACCCTTTACAGGAAGATGGGATTGTAGCAAGCGGCGGAATGGGCTTAGTAGACAGATACGCGTGGGATTTGAGTCGGTATGGCAGAGGCATTTATTTATTTTTTGTTTTCTTTGGATTATATGTTAGAGGTCATCAATATTCTCCTCTTGAGTTATCCATTCTTATGTTAATATTGTAATTCATAGCAGGACATAACAGAGAAAATTGATTCATAAAATTGGCTCCAAGTAGTAGATTAATTATTCTGTGCGGACGCCGAACGTCGTTCGGAGATCAACCAAAATGTGCAACGTCACCCCTTGCTCGGTACCGCTGACGTGGCACATCCTAGTTGGTCTCCGAGCAGCGTTCTAAGTCCGGTCTCCGCACAAAATAATTTCTCCAAATAGTGGGATAAACACTTGTTATTATTATTGTTGTGCTGAATTCACCTCCATCCAAGAGCATTTCCTCTTGTCCAGTCCATATTAACTTACATTTATTTGGGTCTGAAGCTACAAATCATCCCTCACATACTCTTCCCCCATGTGACCAGATACCAGCAACTCGCCCAAAATCACCAAAGTTTAGCCGGAGAAGGAGCTGCCGTGAAGTATATAACTCTCCACATACTGACAGCAACAATAAAACCCATGGCCGGACTAATCGCTGCTGCGTCGACGGCGCCAAAGAGGCAAAAAAATCTCGAGTCAACACCAAGAGTAGAACTGCATCGTGCAAAGCCGAAGAAGAAAACAATCAAAATGAGACGAACCAAACAACTCCTGAAGCTACCATGCAATCCTAGGCCCCTCCTAAGAATTAAGGTTGGTTTCGCCCATGATCCTAAGTCCTAACCTGTGAGATCTGCTCGATCTCGATTAATTTTTTTTATCACCACATTATTTATTTGTGTCAGATATGCTTTCTGCTTTGCAAGTTTGGAAGAACGACTTGTTTTTTCTCTTTGATAATTGTTTTTGATGCTATATTTGCTGTTAATCTCAATGAAGGTGTTTAACTATAAGATGTGGATTCTGTTCTCATATTAAGGGATGAGTAGAATGTGAAGGAGATTAGTAAAACCAAATAAAATTTGAGATTTTTTGGGAATAAAGCTGTACTTTTGAACTTTGGTTTGATGTTATATGCTAACATAATGATGTTTGTTCTTTTCTAATTAAGATTTGTAGCATCTATGATTTTATTAGCATGGCTATGACATTCTTGTATATAAAGAGTAATAATCTTTAGGCATCTGGACAAAGACCCAATTTACATTAGAGGTGTAAGCGAGTTAAGCTGGTTTGAGTTTGACTCAATAAATGATTTGTGAGCAGAGTTCGATGAGTTTATGAGCCAAATTTGAGCCAGCCCGGACTCAGACTCATTAGCTCGGGAGACATATCGTTTAAAATATTTGAATGTAAAATGCACTTAAAATATATAAGCGTTCAATATTCTAAGTATGAAGTTAAAAATTATCTCATTTTGTTATATTAAGTGATTTATTATTATTTTTTCTTTTATCTTTTTATTCATTTTATTATTTTATTATTATAAATGCTTGTGTCAAAAGCTTCTTTTTTTTTAATAACAAATGGGTTGACTCATGAGCTGGCTCGAACTTGTAGAATATAGCTCGAGCTCGAGCTCGATTAATTAATCAAGCTTAAGCTAAAGTCTGGAGTGACTCGAGCTTATGCAACTCATTTTGGTAAAGCTTCCAACCAGGAGGTCTTAGGTTGAGTCTTGTGTATGTGATGTGTATGAATTTATCTTAATTGGCTGAAATATCCCAAGAGTGACTCGGTTCAGTTCAGATTATTATTATAATAAAGATGAAAAAATTAGTTTGCATTACTGAAAATTTTAAGAAAGTTGTAAAATTTCTTATTTTCTAAAAATTAACTTTTGTCTGTAAAGAAATTAAAAAAAGAAAAACGAGTTTGTAAAAAAAACACGATTTTAAAAAAATTAATTATATAGTCACATGAGCTTTGACTCATTATATAAGAAATAATACATATTATTTACTTATAGTATAAGATAGTTATTATCTTATTATAAATGGCACTTAAAAAGTATGTATTTCTTTCGGTGAAGCTGAGTGCCTGTGCATAATCCGATTTTAAAATCAGAACTATAACAACTGATCAGTTCTTTCATGATTTCTGGCTTGTGGTAAATAGAAAAATGCTCCAAATTTTTTTATAACCATTTTGATTATCTACTGAAGGCCCTCTGTAGCAAATGGCATGCTAATTGAATATTAAATCTCAAAAAAAGCTTTTGTTACTTAATTTTTTTTATTTTCTGATTCGGCATGTACTGCAGGCATTTCTTTTCCAAAGCATATTCATCAGAACACTACAAAATTTTGGACAATTTTCAATAATAATTTCTCAATAGCCCCAAATGAAATTATGATGAATAGAAGAAAAACATATTCCAAGCAGACCTCTTAGCCCTAGGCTCGTTTGGTAATATTTTTTATGCTTCTTGAAAGCAGAATTTTAGTAATTTTGTCTAAAATTTTGTTTATAAAGGCAATTAAAAAGTCGTCCCATAACGAATTAAAGCCTTAATTTGTGCAAATTCTCAATCTATGCATTTTCAATGCAACATTACATACATAAATTTTCATTCCTTTATAAAAAAGAAAAAAGGCCATTATGCCCAATAATCTGAATCTAAATTTGATCAATCTTTTTCACTTAACCTTACAGATTTGCCTCAACAAATTAAAGCCAACTTGTAAAAGTCCACCATCTTCTGACAAAATTCCAAGACCCACAAATCAACTATCTTTTTTTTCTTCTTCTTCTTTTTCTCTCCTTTAATCGCTCTCTCATAGTCTTTCATTTGTGGCATTTGTTGCTTGGCGCTTAAGCTTCGAATCACAACTTGGCGTATGGCTTCCCTTCCATTCATGAAAGGTTCTCCTCATCCTCTTCTCCTTTTCCTCAGTGGGAAGAAAAAGAGAAACCCTTTGCTTGGGAATAAAACCCAATGTCAAGGCTTCCTCCCCTTCTTAAATTAGAGTCATAATCTCATGTAAAAACATAAAAAAAAAGTTTTTTATTAGTAAACTTCATCATATCAAAGAATATAATGATTATTACATATTCTCTCATTTTTCATTTGCATTAATCATAATTAGTTGCCATGTCTTTTGTAGTTCATGGTGGTCAACTAAGTCATAGACCTACGACATTCATCTTCGTTGCAGTTGTAGGTAGCTAGAATTTTGTCAACTTTGTCAATAGAGGCTTCGATGTGCTAAGTTAACCTAGTCGCATTGTATTAGTTCATGCGTCATTTATGTTGATCCTACAGGAAAATCTGCCATTACCGTAATACTTTTAATTTGACTGATTATCCACCAGTACTACCTGCACAAATTTTCCGCTGGAAAGACTAGCATATTAAACGTCGGAATCCGCTACAGAAAGACGACGTATAAACATCATTTTTTCTGTCAGAATTGCGTCGAAAACGCCGTAGGAAATGTTTTCGGTATAATTCTATTGGTACTGGCGAATTTGGTCTGCTGGTAACAGGATGTTTTCCTGTAGTGTGACCCCACATCATGTACGAGATCCATCGGGTCCTACTTACTATGTGTGAACCAATAAAAAGCTTCGTAGAACCAAGGGGCGTAAATATTACAACTTTCTAAAAAGCGGGTGAATTAAGAAAGTGATTAATAGACACAAATTTATAAAACATAATAGATCTAAGATGCTAAGACAGTAGGCAAACTAGCTAATGGTTGACCTCAAGCCACTTTGAGATGAAGAATCGCTTGAATTACAAATTAAACTAAAGTTTAATTTTCTTAATGGCTTCTTTGCACCATTAAACTAACATAGAGAGATTGTCTACTCTTTATTGTGTGAAAGGCTTTTAAAAGCTTGACTACATATCAAGACTTCAAAAAGAACCCCCACCTCCCTCTCTAAATTTTCTACGTATATAAGAATCTATGAAACTATTTTGCATGGCCAAGTTGTGAGGGAATTGAACCAAGCTCATTACCTCATGAAACTCCTCACTTTCTTTCTCTCTTCTTTATCTATTTATTTCCATGAAACCTGAGAGGAATGTTGTCTGGTTCGAAGTCTTTCCATGCTTAAAAGAGCCCTTAGTTTTTCATATTTTTGGGGATCAAATGAATTGTTTTCGGACCAGGCTTCATTCCCCTCAAATTCATGAAATCTGTCTCAGAACTCTTCTTCATCAAATCAATGGCGAGCTAAGAAGCTTTCATAAACTTGTAAGTTCATAATCTTCTTCTCATCTCTACTGTTACTGTTTTGCTTTTTTTTTATTTTGTTTTTTCAGGTTCTTCCACTTTGGCTGCAATGAAAAAGAAATGAGAAATTCAAGTTTTATATTGTATTGATTGAAAATTTAGAGGTTTTACAGTGAAAATATTGTGGTGAGTTCTGAAAGAACTTTACTTTATAAAGAAGCATGCAGAGAGAATAGATTCTTTGCAGTATCCATACTTCAAAGTTTCTTTGTTTCTTCATCATGGTATTGCATAAGGCTGAAAGTTTTGATACTTCTAATCAGCTTGCTTGCCCTTTTCTCTCTTTTTTTTTTTTTATGTTCAGAAATATAACAGTATTTATTTGTTTTAACTTTTAATTACAGATTAATTGTTGAAAATTATGATATTAATGTATGAATAGTGCAATATATTTAGCTTGTACAAAGCTTTATTTATCAAAATGAGTAAGTTATTTTGCAAGACATGAGAGAAGTATTAATTTATTTTTTTATTTGGACTTTTAAGCCAATTTAACCACATTCTCACACACACTATTTTATAGATTAGGTCTTAAACCAAAGATCTTCTCATAGGAGCACCCAACCAATTGATCAATTTAGGCTTCGTTTGGGACGACTTTTTTATTGCTTTTAAAACAACTTTTTAGTATAGAAATTTTATTTTTTTACTAAAAAATTACTTTAAGAAGCAACAAAAAAGCCTTCACAAACGAAGCCATAGGCTGCATTAATAAGATGTTTTCATAGGCTAATTACAGATTAATTATTGGAAATTATGATATTGTATGAATAGTGCAATATATTTAGCTTGTACAAAGCTTTATTTATCAAAATGAGTAAGTTATTTTGCAAGACATGAGAGAAGTATTAATTTATTTTTTTATTTGGACTTTTAAGCCAATTTAACCACATTCTCACACACACTATTTTATAGATTAGGTCTTAAACCAAAGATCTTCTCATAGGAGCACCCAACCAATTGATCAATTTAGGCTTCGTTTGGGACGACTTTTTTATTGCTTTTAAAACAACTTTTTAGTATAGAAATTTTATTTTTTTTACTAAAAAATTACTTTAAGAAGCTACAAAAAAGCCTTCACAAACAAAGCCTTAGGCTGCATTAATAATATGTTTTCATAGGCTTCGTTTGAGATAGCTTTTTGTCAGTGCTTTTTTATTGTTTAAGAAAAAAAAATGTACTAAAAAATAGCTTTAGAAAGCTGTAAGAAAATTATTCCAAAAGAAGCAATAGTCTCATCCACATTAGTATGCACTTTTACTTTTAATATTTATGCACTTATTTTAATAAATAATTTATCAAATATTAGATTTCTATAATTTTTTCTGTTGAATGAAGTTTAGTGACAACTTATCAATCCTTATTACATTGTTATTGATTTCAATATTAGAAATTTGATATAAATTAAAATATTATGATGGATAAATAATTATGATAGAGTAGTTTTTGTTGAGGTTTTTATTGAAGAAAAAAAATTCTTGAAGTTAAGA